GTGGCCCCGGCGCCTCAGGCTGATGGTGCTGAGAGGCTGCCGTCTGTGGAGACCCCCGGGGAAGCCCCGGCGCTCTCCTGTGCGCATGCTTAAGCTACTCCGAACTCGGCATCCAGGGGGGCCAGCTCTGGAAACAGCATCTCTTCTTCCTCACTGCCTCTCGCTCCGAGTGGGCTATTTCTCGCACCTTCCACACACGGGTCGCAACATCTGGGTGCTGGAAGGGAGGTCAGCTGCTTAGGACCCTACCTTGGAGCGGCCGAGGTGTGTGTGCGCGCGCGCGGCCGCGGGAGGAGAAATAGGGTGGAAAACTAGGATGTGTGGGCGCGTGGCCCCGGGTCAGAAGTAGGGTGAACGCAACGGTAGTGTGGGTGGATGGGCGGGGAAGCAGCCAAGACTCCATCCTCTCACCGTGAAAGGAGTTCGTTGGCAGTGCCCAGGCTGTCGGCTGTGCTCGGTAGGGCAGCCCCAGGCAAAAGGAGGAGACGGGACAGCAACCTCTCCCGGCGCAGGTGGCAGAGCCCTCCGTCGATGCGGAGAGATGGCCCACGGCAGGGGAGGAGAATGCAGGAAAAGGGCCGAGTGGGGCCATCGCCCCAGCCGCTCACCACGAGCGGGATGGAGCAGATGAGCACCACCAGGGAAGTGGCGATGAGATGACCAGGGGAGGGTCAGTAAGGGTGGGAGGACTGTCTGCCTGCCCGCGGAAGCCTTTCTCTGGCTCCGAAGGACTTCTCCGCCCTGTAAGAACGGTTAGACCCAGCTTCGTGCCTTGGCCCTGTTACATTTGTTAGACACCTTCACCAGGAATCCTTGGAAAGGCTGATGCAGTGAAACTAGGATTTGCAAGTCATTCGAGTAAAGGAATTCTCCAGTCATTACCTCCATGGTTAAACTCTTGGAAAATCCTATTTGCTCTACCTTTTATCTCCAGATACAATTTAACTTCTTTTGTGGAGGGAACAGTTTCTCTTGTTCATTACTCATTGTTCGCTTCTTTTTGTGCTATTACCTAAAGTCAGAAGGGAAAACTAAAAAAAAAAAAAAAGGAGAAAAATTTCGTGGAATAATTATAACTGCTTCACCATTTTTTTAAACCATAAAACGAGATTATGTGAGCTGTCGCAATTTCAGTTCTTAGGAAAACCTATTTTCATGGGTTATACACATGCATTTTAACACATTGCATTTCCTCACAGAGTAGGTAAATAATTCTTTCATATGGTAAAGCAGGCACTCAAGCCTTAAATGTTATTTCGTGAATGAACAAACCTAAGAATTTATCTGGTTCTCCAGTTATTCTCAAATGACACAGTGACAAATGAGTAATAGAAGAAACATGGAGGGCATTCCAGATTTCAACTAATTACAGGACATAAAATATCTAGAATCACACAAGCACCATGTGGAGATATATATATATAATATATATATATTATATATATATAATCATTCAGTTGTTTGTATTGTTTCATGAATACCAGAGATTCAGAAAGAAAAACACATTTGTTAGCCAATATAAAAAGAATGGAAGGCAGCCAGTTTCTCAGTCTTCTCTTAATCACCACTATTAACCACTCCTGTTGTCTGTGCTTGCGTTGAGTAGTAAACTCTAGGATTGTGTCTGCACTGAAAACGAATCAACACTAGAAAAAGGAAACTGCACATTCTACCCGCAGTCTTCCCTGACCACATTGCATCATTACTACCCTGTCAGGTGGTTGTCAGTAAAAATATGAAGGGGAGGTGGGAAGTTCCCTTTATAATCACTTTCTGTTTAAAAAAAAAGTTTTTTTTCCTGTTTTTTTTTTCATTTGAAGTTCCTAAAATGAAAAGCAGTTAAGATTGGCACTTGTTAACTTTTCATGGTGAAGAGTATATTACATATAAAAATTGAGGCACACTGCTGAGAGAATTAGTAAGTAGTACAGGTTTTACCATGTCATGGATAAACTGGGCTTGTTATCAGTAGAGCTGTTTTTCTTACTAGTCTTTTAAATTTTCTTTCCATGGTAGCTTTAGGAAAATGAAAATAAATCAGAATCCAGGACACAAGACTTAAAAAAACAAAATGTAATGAGGTTTACCTGTACTCTCTTTTGGTGCATGATTATTAAAACTTAAGTTTCGCCTTTAGAAGTACAGTTGAAGATTTGGGAAACAAACACTTATTTTCTTAATTTGAAAAATGGGGACAGTGTAATTTAGTTTCCCTCATATTCTACCGAGAATCTACATTGCAGAAGGAAAAGAGGAATTGTCACGATTGTGTGGACAATTCTTGTCATTGTTTGCATATTTAATGAAAAGACATTTATTCTAAGCATTGTTTTCTATCCTCCCTTGCAATTTCTGCCCCAATATCTACTTCTCTGCACTGGAAGATCCTGGTTCACTTCTTTAGAAATGTCATGGAACCCTCTCTGCAAGTTTGCACTGGTCCAAGAACGTCCTGACCGATCAGTGTGATTGCTCTCTACTAGCTAACTATTGGACTGCTCTTTTAAGTAAACACCATAAGGTTGGAGCTCCTTTAAAAGCAAAGTCTGCTTGCAGGCTCCAGACCACATTCCCTTTGACTAGGTTGAATCTTCCTTGGGTCAAATGAATGGGTAACAATGGGTTCCTGGGAGAAAGGCAGCAGGATGAATCAGATCTGGCCTAGACCTCTTCCTAATCCAAAGACGGCCAGATCTTAGAGCATTCCTAGGGCGCTAACGTTTATGTAGCAAAGACTGTGTAAATTGTGTTTGCTCTCTGTCATTCCGGACAGGCCATACAGATACTCAGAACAGTGAAAAAGGCATCTATCTGGTACAAATAACACAGTACCCTTGGCTACATCTGCCTTTCACACACTCACCCTGTTGTTTCAGTGAATTAGAAGCATGGCATTAACCTGATTTTAGGCATGAAAAGAGGTCCACGTTTGTGACTGTGATCCTAAGGACTGCCCTCGCTCTTTAGTGGTGTATTTTAAATGTGTGGTCTCCTAATTATTTTCATTTTCTAAGCATAAATTTTATGACGAGTCTAGTGCCTAGAGTTGTTACACATATCATTACTGTGATTAACTCCCCAATGTCTTCATCTGGGGATAAATTACTGCTGGGAAGGCTGGTCGCCACCAAGTGATTGCTTCAGGCTGCCTTCTACTCAGACAGTTACACTCCTCAAGGGATGGCTTTCTACCCATTTAATCTTCCTCTTTTTCTTCTCCAAGCAGATAATTCCACTGCGCTCTCCTTGTGGATTGGGCTAATGGACAAACACAGGAGATTGTCTACTTAGTATTGCTCAGTTTTGAAGGTACAGGTGCAGAGATAAAGCATTCAGGTGTCTCTTCTACAGGAAGATGGACATTCTGATTATAGTTCAGTTTCTTCTCCCAAATTGCTGTATATTTTAGTACTTCAGAATATACGCAGGGACTCCCTGGCTTAATCATCAACACCAGCATCCTCTGTAGCTTGTTGACCACTTCCCATAGCACTTTCACATTTGCATTCACATGTGCTCTGATTAGCAACCCCTGAGGATGTTAGGTAGGTGTGATGGAGACTGATGTTTCACCAAACCTTGTTTCCATTTCCTCTTAAACACGTAGCTGGATGTTACTTCCCAGACTTCTCCTTGTTTGGGTGAAGCTTGTATGACTGAATTCTAGACAATGGAAAACAGGAGGAAGTGATGTGTGCCACTTCTAGACCTGGTCCCTAAGAGACCCCTCTGTGCTGTGTTCCCTTTTCTTCTGACAAGATACGAGGCCCTGGTATATGGCAGAGTCACTAGATAGAATGTGACTGGGTCCCTGAATGGCTGCATGGAGTGGGGACCTCATTCCAAGCCCAATGACCTTCACTGGACAGTGATGCAAAAGAGAAGTAATCCCCCGAGATCTGAGGGGCTGCTTGTTTGGGCAGTTTGCCTGTGCCAACTGACTAACACAGTATGATTGGAGTCATCTCTCTTTAGTTATGAGAAGGTGGGCACAGAAAAGCTATGAGACTTGCTCACAGGCACGAGAATTCGTAATGCCACCTGAAATTTAGCCAGTGCTTAGCCTGTGTGAGACACTGTGTGGAGTGAAGTATGCGTAAGTCATCTATTCCTCAGAATAAACTTGTGAGGAAGGTACTACCTAGCAGTAGGCCCAGTTGACAGCTGAGCAAACTGAAGTGTGATGAAGGAATGTGCGGGACATGATCATTTCTTAAAAGACTACTCAGCCTCTGGGGACGGTGGTGCTGAGAGTCTGGCAGTCTAAGTGGCTGCTGGTTAAAGCACCAGGTTGATTAATGTGACCTTGGATGAGTTGGCTGCTGCCAGCCTTTCTGTTGACTCCTTGTATAATTGATTGTCTTTCCAATGAATTATTTCCTGCTTTAACTGACCATAATCAGTTTCTGTTGTTTGTGAATAATAACCCCACCCAGCACAGAGAGGTCAAATAAATTACAGATCACTGTATTGATAAATAGCAGAGCAAAGATTTTCATCTAGGGCTGTCTGATCTCCAAACCTCTATCCCTAATCTTTATATTTTTTAGCCCAAACTGGAACTCCGACCATATGACTCATAGTCTTCTTTTTTTCTCCCTCAATATCATTGTCTTTGGGATAAAGAAAGTCTGGGTAAAAGGTCATAATAGGGAAGCTGAGTTTCCTAAGCTTCAGTGAAAAGGAGCTTTTACTAAGTTGGTTCTTTTGAAGTTTTAAGTAATGTAATAATCCTATAAATAAAATGTCTGGCACATATTAAAAACAATAAATATTAACCTATTGTTATACAGTAGTTATTATTATTACATACAGTTGTGTTCACCAAATTTATTTCTAATGATTTTATGATTAGTTGTTGGGCATAAAATGTTTAAAGGGCATCATAGTAAGTTGAGTAAGTATAACTTTGGTAGAACTTATTTTTGCCCAAGAACAACCCAAAGACTGGTTATGTATATAATCACAAAGAGAGAATTAAAGTACTTATTCAGATAATTTAGGCAATCCCCTTCTCTTCCCTTGATGAGAAAGGAAGAATTACTTTCAGTGAGATGATTTCTGTTGCCTACTCATACTGCTTAACTTTATTAGATCATTTCTCAGGAGTATATCTTATATTATTGATCGTGTAATCACAGTTGAGCTATTAGGGAGATATTAGCAAATTTACCTGGTTTTCCTCCAGAATAAATTTCCAATTTTTAATTTTGAAATCTTTATAAGAAGAACAGAAGAGCATTTATTTGAGAGAAATGAACGCA